ATAATCTGAGTAACATCTTTTCAATACAAACTTTGTATTTTTGATGTTATAATGGTCCATTGTGAACTTGAATGAGGAGAATAATTGCATTTTTTTCAATTTCTTTGAAAGCTAATCTCTTGAACTTCCCTGGCCTAATCTGTATAATGCTGAACCAGCAGCACAGTGACAGGGCCCAAAAAACCTGGCATCTGCTGGTGGTAGAGCTAAAACAAGGAATTTCCAACTCAAGAAAAATCCTGATCATTCAATTTTTTTTTTTACCGAATCTGTATGAAAAGTTGGATAACTGACACTTTTGATGGATCAAAATATTCTGGAAAATGTTGATTCAGAAATGGATACATTTTTCTTTTCATTGTTGATGATTACAATGAAATTAATTCAACGTGCACACATTGGAATGTTTTACTTTGCTTTGTTGAACTGACCCAAAATATTTTCTTTAGAGTAAGTTCAAAATTAAACTCCATTGCTTTATGATGACACAGAGCCCCATGGGAGTTTTAGCTTGGGAGGTCCCATTAGGGCTAGGGTCTCTCGCTGGAGTACATCTCCCACAATGCACCTGCAATCATGTGTGTCCTTTGCACCACACAGCTTAGTCAGAGGGGAATTTATGTTGCACATAAGAAAGAATGTGTGGGGGGGGGAAAGGAGGGGGACACTGAAATATATCATAGAAGTGTTTCAGTAACATTTTTAAACGACTATAAATATGGTTTCTAGTTTACTGCTAGAGGGACTTTAAGTGTAAATAAGAATGTGGTGTATGAAGTGAAAAACGCTGTATACAAAATGAAACTGGCTTTTTCAAAAATAGAAAGTCTAATTTTATTGTTCAAGATCAGTGAAATGCAAAAAAAAAAGTAGTATAAATGGTGAAGAGTTAATTCAGAGAATAACTCTATCAGATTAAATAATTTCAGGATTAATACATCCCTTTAAATCACATACAATAATTTTTTTTAACACATCATATAATTAGCTTGTTGAACTCACTGCTGAAGAAAACAATCCTAATTTAAAAAATAAATAAATACCAAAAACATCTGAAAAAAGAGCATTTTCATTTATTCTGAGAAGGCTAAAAAAATCAAGTGGTCTGATTTTCATGAGTCCTGAACAACTGCATCTTCCACAGAAATCAGCAAAGCTGTGTTTACACTGCAGCGCTATTTCAGAATAATCGACGTTATTCTGAAATAACAGCACGCCTACACTACAAGCCATTATTTCGAAACAATGTCGAGCAGGAGGGCTTCTTTCTCTGACTCCTGTAACCCTCATTTCACGAAATGTAAGGGAAGTCGAAGGAAGAGTTTTCTTCCTTCGACTTCCTGCTGTGTAGGCAGCGCCAAAAGCCAAATTAAGCTATTTCGACTTCAGCTATGCAATTGACATAGCTCAAGTTACGGAGCTTAATTCGACTTTAGCCCTATTGTGTAGACATAGCCGAGGAGTGGTAAGTATTTGGGATCTTTGAAATTCAGGCCAAAGTACTATCAGTCCTCATGCCACACATTCATAATTTCTGGCAGAGGTCAGGCAGAAACTACCCCCATAAAAGAGAATACTGGCCAACTTGGTGGGTTAGGAAGACATTATTCCTCTGAAGATATGTGGAAGATACTGAACTAAAGGAATTACTGTTTTTTTCTGGAGTACTTATTAGAGATGCCTTTATTCCTGTTTCTACTATCCTTTGTAGAGGCATTCAGTAAATAAACTCAGAAACTTTGCACTGCCAACTAATCAATATTTGAGAATGGTTTCTGACTCATGCTTTTCTGTTCAAAACCACTTATGGAAAGCCATTCCAGTGAAGCCTTCAAAAAGAGATTCCAATAATAACTCTGAGGCCTGGTTCCTACACCCCAGTGCATCTGCTATCAAATACTTACTCTAAGGCTATTATGATTAAAACATGCCTCCATTGAGTGGTGAAAAGAATGTCTGCGGCTTGTTACAGCTCTCTCATTCAGAACGACTTTCATGAGCAGAGTGATCATGGCTTGGCTTGGAAAGGTCAGAGGAGAAAAACATAAGTCAGAAATCAATCACAAGTCTATGGGCGATTTGGATGAAAAAGACATACGCTAAGTCCTACTGCATCAAACTAGAGTGTGAAATGAAGAGGCCAAACTTCTTTAAAATGTTGAAAAGTTGACTTGGGTAAGACCGAAGGAGATGTTTATCATACAACAAGAGGGTAATATGACATCATGCAACAGAGAATGGGGCCAAAAGTAATCACTCATTTGACCTCCTTGTATTTTCCAGGACTATTCACTAGACAGATCATTGATCTTCCTCTGACTCTAGGGGCCTAGGACAATCATAGAAGAATCATTGAATCATAGAACCATGGGGTTAGATGAGACCTCAGGAGGCCATCTAGTTCAACCCCCTACTCAAAGCAGGACCAACCCCTCTCAATCATCCCAGCCAGGGCTTGGTCAAGCCTCGCCCGAAAAAACTCTAAGGATGGAGATTCCACCAGCTCCCTAGGTAACCCACTCCATTGCTTCACCACCCTCCTAGGAAAATAGCTTTCTCTAAAATCCAAACTAGACCTCCCCCACTCCAACTTGAGACCATTGCTCCTCATTCTGTCATCTGTCACTAATGAGAACAGCCTGGCTCTATCCTTTTTGAACTCCACTCCAGGGAGTTGAAGGCTGCTATCAAATCCTCCTCTCCCCATTTTTCTCTTCTGTAGAATAAATAAGCCTAGCCCCTCAGCCTCTCCTCATGAATCCTGTACTCCAGCCCCCTAATCATTTTTGTTGCCCTCTGCTGGTCTCTCTCCAATTTGTCCACATCCTTTCTGTAGTGGGGGTATCTTAATACCTGCAGTTTTGATGTCTCAGCCACCCCCACTGGGAGTAGATTCCGCTTCCCAGGTGTAATTTTTGTTAAAAATATTTATCCTATTAGCTAGTCTGTTTTCCTTCCTTAGTTTCAGGTCATTGATCTTTTCTCTACCCTCAGCTGAAACTAAATAATCTCTTCCCTTTATTTTATGGGTGTTCCTTTCCCAGATGTACATCTTACTGACTCATCTTCCTAAAGGGAGAAAAATAAATGCCGGGGTTGAAAAGTCCATGAGCCACAGACACAGGCATTCACAAACTTTTCTACAGTAAATGTCATCTGCTCTCTTTAAACAGGTGTCGTGTGGAAAGCGAACTGTATATTCAGCAGAGGCACTATTGGTTTCCTCTGGCCCTGGCCGCTCTGCCTTGCTAAACAGTTGTGAACATCGAGCGTCACTAAATCACGGTGTACAAATGAGCACGGAAGCCTCCTGAGATTAATTCAGACCTTCCAGAGCTGCCTGAGTGAGCGGAGTAGTAACTGGGATGTTTTATTTGTCTTAATGCCAGTTTAAAATGTTACTGTATAGAGGAGTGGTCCCAAATTGTGGGGCGTGCCCATAGTGCACTGGGGAAGAACACTAGGGAGCAAAGACCCAGGCCAGCCCGTAAGGGAAGTAGGGAGCACCACTCAGCCCTCAGATCCACCTCCAGCTCCACTGCAGGCCCAGCTCCCAGATAATGCTCCACTCCTGGCCTCAACCATAGCTCTGCTCCCAGCCTCAGCTCCTGGTGGCAGCTCCATTCCTGGCCCCAGATCTGCCTCCAGCTGTGGCTCTACATTTGGCCCCCTTACTCCTGTCTGCACTCCCCACCCCGGGTGCCACAGCTCCGCTCCTACGCCGGCTCCCAGAGGGAATGCAAGCAGGAAGAAGGGGAGCCATGATCCTGAAAAGTTTGGGAACTACTGACACAGAGGGGAGAAAACAAAATTAGTACTTTTATTTGCCTGGTCAGGGACACCGAAAAAAACTACTTCAGAATTCTTTTTTGCACGAGGCTGATGTGCTATTTACGTCCCATTTCAGCCTTGTTTAAGAGCTGAAAGAGTGATAGGTCTTGTGCTGTCCCCCTGCACAGGACTGACTTTCACCCTCAGTACACACTTCAGCCCCCGGTACACCACAATAGTTCCCCGCACTGCCAGTCTTAGTGGGAGAAAGAAGCATCAATCTACAGAGGCCAAAGCTCAAACATGCAGTGGTTCCAAATTGTGGGGCGTGCCCCCATAGTGCACTGGGGAGGAACACTAGGGAGCAAGACCCAGGCCAGCCCCTAAAGGAAGTAGAGAGCACCACTCAGCCCTCAGATCCACCTCCAGCTCCACTGCAGGCCCAGCTCCCAGATAATGCTCCACTCCTGGCCTCAGCCTCACTCTTCAGCCATAGCTCTGCTCCCAGCCTCAGCTCCTGGTGGCAGCTCCATTCCTGGCCCCAGATCTGCCTCCAGCTGTGGCTCTACATTTGGCCCCCTTACTCCTGTCTGCACTCCCCACCCCGGGTGCCACAGCTCCGCTCCTACGCCGGCTCCCAGAGGGAATGCAAGCAGGAAGAAGGGGAGCCATGATCCTGAAAAGTTTGGGAACTACTGACACAGAGGGGAGAAAACAAAATTAGTACTTTTATTTGCCTGGTCAGGGACACCGAAAAAAACTACTTCAGAATTCTTTTTTGCACGAGGCTGATGTGCTATTTACGTCCCATTTCAGCCTTGTTTAAGAGCTGAAAGAGTGATAGGTCTTGTGCTGTCCCCCTGCACAGGACTGACTTTCACCCTCAGTACACACTTCAGCCCCCGGTACACCACAATAGTTCCCCGCACTGCCAGTCTTAGTGGGAGAAAGAAGCATCAATCTACAGAGGCCAAAGCTCAAACATGCTCCCAAGAATGGATCAGCTGAGCAAGTGTCCTACCCACCCTACACCCAGCACTCGCTGGATGAGAGCTGGGGATGAAGTCAAAGTTTCTGAGGCACATGCTGAGACAGAAGATTCCTTCCCTTAGCCCTATTTTGTTCCAAAGAACTTTCCTCAGCACATTTAAGTCCAGGCTTCACCCTGTAAGAGTAGCAAGGCAAAGTAGCTTTGGCATGTACAGAGCTAAATGGGAAGCAGGTATTACCTTGGTTTGGAACGTACAATATACATGGGTTAGAAACGGGTGTTCCCAAGCTAAGGAGAGGACTCTCTTTTCCACCATGGTGCATTCAACATCGTCATCCATCAACACCACATCCTTCTTCAGAGCCTTCACAGCGAAAAACTGACCTGCGTTCTTCAACTCGGCAAGGAAGACCTAGAATGGGAAGGCCACCTCGTGTAAGCCATGCATTCTCACAATCCATACAAAGGGGCAAACTGAGGCTAGCTGGCTCAACACCGGGATGGATTGGCCATCTTGGTGTGGAAGGAGGATCTGGTGGCTAAGTCACTTGACTAGGCTGCAGGGAGCATGAATTCAGATCTTGGTTCTGCCACAAACCTATGAGGCTTTGGGAAAGTCCTTCGATCAATCCCAGGCCTTCACTTCCATTTGTAAAATATGGAGAACATACATGGGGGTGCTGTGGGGATAAATCCACTTATGACTATGAGGGGCTTGGTTACTACAGTGATGGGGACCATGTAAGTCAATTGAACGCTTCAGACACATGAAACAGTTGTGGACGGAAACCAGTTTTATGCCCATTTTCATAAATAATATTTATATTTTCCCCATTTTCTGGCCAGCTCCACTAACCACTACAATATTTTAAAACACATGGTGTGGGAAAATTTGTCAGTAATATATACAACTTGGACGTTTGGGATCAGATCCACAGTGGCTGAGCTACACTGATTTATACCTGATATCACCTAGTGTAAATCAGTCAAGCAACATGAATATCACTGATCTCCAAGGAGTTTGATTGATTTACACTAGGTGAGACTCTGGCTCTGAATGCGAGGTGAGAGTGCAATATGAATAGATAGATTGCATTTCTCCAGCGTCTCTCGCTTGAGTACCTTAAAGCCCTCGGCAAATACTAATGAACTGAGTCTGAGAACTAGGCAAGCTTCCAGATGGGGAAACTGAGGCACATAGTGGCCAATGACTTGCCAGTGCTCACCGAATGAGCCAGGAGCAGTGTGGGAAGTAGACTGACTTCTAGGCCCATGGCTAATTATAGGTAACCATGTAGTTTAGTGAAGAGAGCCATGTACTGGGCCTCTAAGTACCTGGCCTCACTCACTTCCTGAGTCTAATAAATTTTTGAGGTAATTTTGAGCCAGTCACTTCCCTCTGTGTGCTTCAGTTTCCTCATTTGTACCATGGAGATACTGAAATCCTTTATAGAATGCTTGGGGATTGATGGATAAAAAAGCACCATATGAGAGAGAGGTTATGATTGACATTCGCCTGGGTTAGCAATCATCCAAGAATAATCAATGACACCTCCTCAGTACTGTTTACTGATGTGGAAAAGCACAAGGAATTGGCAGCCCCTCTTGCGTGTTTTGTGTACTCCTTTGGGTATTTATATGACTGCTGCAGCTATAACAATTCTTTCCCAGTGATTCTCCAGCCTATGGAATATTCTGTAAGCGAGGGGCTCGAGGGATTGGAAACAGAGTGGAACTGTATTGATCGGGAGGCTAGAGAGGGGAACAGACAGTAGGGCTTCTATATAGATGGCCCAGTACCATTGAAGCCCCTCCAGATCAATGGAGATTGGCAGGGTATAAAGGCTGAACATCCTGCATCTTCTCCAAAGGAGGACAAACCTCACCCCAACCAATGGAAGAATTTTGGAAAGGATTCTGTAAAGGAAGCTTGTACAGATTGAACCTTTCTAGTCCAGAACTCTCTGGTCCGGCAACATCTGTGGTTCGGAATGATTTTAGTTAGCTGGATGTCCATTTTTCATGGGTATGGCTAAGTTTTCCACAGTCCCATAAAGTTTGTTTACAGCCACCAGTGCTAGCTCTCAGGGTATGTCTAGACTACTTGCCTCTGTTGCCAGAGGCATGTAAATTAGACTACCCGACATAGTCAATGAAACCAGGATTTAAATATCCCTGGCTTCATTAAAATAAAAATGGCCGCCACGCTGTGCCAGCTCAACTGATCGTTGGCACAGCATGCGAGTCAAGACGTGGATCGGTCAACAAGGGAAGCCTTCATTGACGGCTTCCTTATGCCTCGTGAAATGAGGTTTACAGGAGCGGTTGACAAAGGCTTCCCTTGTCGACCGATCCATGTCTTGACTCGTGCGCTGTGCCGACGATCAGCTGAGCTGGCACAGCATGGCGGCCATTTTTATTTTAATGAAGCCGGGGATATTTAAATCCCGGCTTCAATGACTATGTCGGGTCATCTAATTTACATGCCTCTGGCTACAGAGGCATGTAGTCTAGACATACCCTCAGTGTTCTGTGCTGCTATTTAGTTCTAATTTACCCCTGAGCCCTGGTCTATACCTTCAAAATAACAAGTGGAACATCCAAACTACCAAGCCTGTTATTTCAAAATAATGGGCTAGTTATTTTGAAATAATGACTCCAGCTTTCCATGAGGAATAACTCTTATCTTTTTTTCAAAATAACTCCCAAAATAATAATTTTGAAATATTTCAAAATAATTTCCTGGTGTAGGCATGCCCTCAATGTCCTCGAACAGCCTAGTATGCAGTGGAAGTATTAGTAATGCTGCTAGACAATACTGACCTCCCCGATCTGGAAAAATCTCTGGTTCAGAACTGCTCAGGTCCTGAGGGTGCCAGACTAGAGAGGTTCAACCTATAGTATTTTCTGCTCCTACCGGGTTTTTTGTAGTAGGGCAGGATTTGGCCCTTCTGTACTAAACTTGTTCAGTTACGGAAAGCAAAATGGAAACAAATAAATCACATTTCCTTAATGATTTAATTGCTCCGGCACATAAAATATGCAAAAATCATCCAGACATCAAAGGACTGGTTCTAGTTCGGATGTCTTTGGGCAACATCTTTTCTAATAAGGGCACGTTCATTAGTTGATTCTAAATTGCAATGAAGAGTAGCTTCCGCAGTGGTTCCCAGAACTGCATTAGCTCCAGACGAACTCATCACAGAGGACATTATTATAGAGGGGGCTCCTACAAATTACTAATGATCAGCCATTCCAGGGAAAGGGAGATGAATGAAGACACTAAAAGTACAGGTTGCACCTCCAAAGACTGGCACACTCTGAACCAGAGAGCATGGAAGCCTAATAGCAGGAGGGCCAGCTGAGGTCAGGGCTGGGGGCAGCAGGTCTGGCAGAGCAGCGCAAAGCTGGAACCCCACATCAGTCCCCGGCAGTGTGAGACCGGAGACAGAGTCCTATGGCAATCCCCAGTAGCTCCCAGCAAGCAGGGCTGGACTCCTGTGGCAAGCCGCAGCAAGTGGGCTGAGAGCCAGAGCCTCCTGGCAGCCTGGCCAGCTGGGGAGCTGGCAGCAGGTGGGCAAGCAGCCTGGTTGGGCTAGCGGTGCGTGGGGGGAGGCAGGGTGCCTGCTGGGGCAGCCTACCAGCAGAAGGTGGGAGCTTGGGGGCTGGTGGTAGGCGACCTCCTCTGGTCCAGCAAATTCTCTCATTCAGGACTAGTCAGGTCCCGAGGGGGCTGGACCAGGCAGGTCCAACCGGCAAAAGATTCATGTTTCAGGTCCAAGGTGCAGATCCCCAGCTGGCTGAAATGGGTGGCGCTCCACTGACTCAGCGGAGTGATGCAAATTGAACATCTAAGGTACGGAGCTAAGTCCAACCTGAGTCAGGGGCAGGACATAGCCGCCCTCGCCCAAGAACAGGGACCTTCACTATATGCACCCTGCTTCCTCTGCTCTGGAGGGGGAATTCTACTCCAGTCTTTTTTCAGGTGCAGCTTCCTCCTCTGAACTAGCTCAGCTGTGCTGGCTGATGGCAGAGCTGGGACTCCATTCTCCTGCCTGTCTGCTCCCCACCCACAAGTGTAAAAGGGGAAGTAGCAGCTTGGCCACTGTTTCCCCCCACATGGTCTCTGGGGATGTGGGTAGCTGGTGCAGAGGAGTACAAGGGCCTTTATATTAAGCAGAGGTGGAGACGGGGGAATTTGGTTTCTATGCAATGCAACAGTTGGGTTCCCCATGGTGATGTTTGAATCTTATGTATTATTAAGCACGTTTCTGCTGAGGTTTGAAAACACAGTCCGGCCCTCTGACCCTGGCAATGCAACCCTGCATCGAAAAGCTGTTTATGTTCTCCAGCAGTGCACTGCATGGCTTTATTTTGTAGCACAGTTCAGCTCCATCTCACATACCTTGCCAAAGCTGCCCTTTCCCAGCATTTTGTGTAAGACGAAATCATCGATTGTTAATTTCAGCTGCTCAGACGGCTGGTCCTTCCCTGGTTCTGATTCTATCATAGACTCGGGGCTTGTCACGTCTTCCACTGGGGTCTCCCAGGAAATTCCCTGCGGCTCTGATACGAAGCCCAAAGCAAAGTAAACACCCAGAAACAAAACAACCCCCCGAAACGGAAAAATTGTACATTTTTCAAAGACTATTAGTTCCAAATGAAATGAATGGCAATCAGTTGTCCACAATCAGTAGGTGGGTTTGAAAACCTTAGGCACTGCACCTTAATCTTCTTCTAGTTACATCAGTTTTTGCAATGGTGTAACTTCACTGGCCTAAGTAGTGATTCCCAATTTACATGGGTGTAAATGAGAAGAGAATGACACTCTTTAACTGTAAGGTTGCTTTCAAAGCCAAAGAATAGGACCAAACCCTCCAATTCTGTGCTGCTTTTAGTTGACAGCCCTTCTTGCTGGCTGTCACACCATACCATGACATCTTGCCCTGGGGCCTCTTTTTACTCCCTTGCCGAAGCTGCTGTGTGAAACACATGCAACGCTGTTTAAACTATCCCAGCAGATTAGATCCGGATGGCTGCCTTTGCTGTCAGTTCCTGCAGTGGAACTTTCAAGAGATTTCTTGGCATTCTATTTATTTAGATTTGGGACCTATTCCATACTTGAACCTAGCCCATAAACTCAAATATATGATACCATAGAGAGGATTGCTGAGCACACCCTGACAGATAAAATGAATAGCCACTGGGGAGAGAGGGTCTCTTAAGTAACCCAAATCATTTAAAACTTTAGAGGTTAACACAAGCACTATGAACTTCACCTAGAAACATACTGCAAGCCACTGCAGATGTACTCCACTGATCAACATATGTTAGACATCCTCCTCTGAGGCCAATTCACAAAGCATGCAACTTTGGCTCTACAGAGTCACAGAAATGTTGGGATGAATGAGACTTTGAGAGGTCCCCATGCCCAGTTTCCTGTGCTGAGGCAGGACTAAATACGCCTAGGCCATCCTGGACAAGCATGTTCTTAAAAGCCTGCAATGACAGCCATTCCACAACCTCCATTGGGAACCTCTTCCAGTACAACTGTCCTTAAAGTTAGTGTCTTTCCTAAAATGGAACCTAAATTTCCCTTGCTGCTAACTAAGCCAGTTACTACTTGATCAACTCTTTGCAGACATGGAGAAGAAATGATCACTGTACTTATTACTCAAGCTGCAGAGATTCATGCTTCCAGAATGACAGGCCTAACAAATGGCAGTCATAATGAAGACTTCACAGCATTGGTATAACATGCCTCTGAAGGGCACCTCTCTTTTTATAAGTGGGCTTGTAGCATTCTGTATGAGCTTCCATTTCCCCGGTGGTCTGGAGGTGACAAAGGTTGGAAAGGCAAGGACAGGTTGTGCTCTTCTCACTGTTCCACTGGATCCAAGTTGGCAGCTCAACAGTGTGGCCTTGAAGGGGCTTAAGCTTTGGTTTAGTTTTGCTTTTGTTCCCAACACATGTATTTTAAAGCTTGCAGGAACCATGGTTTCTGTGCACCTATTCTACGAGCTCTATTTTGAATGTTGTGTTCCTTGGATACAAGGCAATAATAGGCACTATGGACCAAAGATGGAATTTTCTGATGGGTCAATGTAAATTAGGAGTGCAATGGAAGTCATTGGGACATATGTGCAACTCCCATTGGGCAAATTCACAGCTCAAAGAGTAGAAAGTGAAGTGCAAGGGTCCTTCACATTGGTTAACTGGGGAGCAGAACAGAATCCAAGTCCACAGACCCATTTGTCCTCCCCGGTACCCTCTCTTGCCTAAATTTTCTCTGGTGGCACAGAGCATGGTGCCATGGAACACTGCTTCATAGCAGGAAGGATAAGGGGATCCTCGGTGTGCGGGCGGCCACTGGCCATTTCCAGCTGCAACTCTTTCATGTCAAGGTGCACATTAGCACTGCAGATTAGCATGTAGGTGTAACCCACATGCCTACTGGGTGCGGTTCATTGTCCCATGTAGTGGCACTTAGACCACTTACAGCAAGAGATAGGAACAAGGGAGCTCTACAGCCTAAGCTGCGTGCTAGTTGGCTTTATAGCTCAAGCTGTAGCAGCTTCTCTATTAAGCTCTAGAGGCCCCAGGTTCAAATCTGCCCTGTGGTGATTATGTATGTGCACTGATCTCAATTATCCCATCCCAATGGCACCCAAATTTGGCATGCATGACATATACTGTGGTTTGCAAATCTTCAGTGCTACCAAACCATTTTATTAATAGATCCTCATCTGATTTAAATCAGAGTCACTCTGTTCACTTCAATGGTGTTACAGTTTAAATCTGGACCAATGTGGAATCTGGACCAATGTGTTCTGACTTCTTTTGAATTTTAAATCTTCACTGCTAATCCAGAAAGGAATATAAGATATTGTGGTTCATAGGGTAAGGTAGTTTTCAAACACTGTAGCTGAAAGATCCCATTTTAAACCCACATGCTGATGTTAGCTCTTGGGTAAGTAAGGTGGAGATTGTCCAATAACTTTCAAAGGGAATGATGGCATGTCTACATTGGGAACATCCAGGAAAATATAATCCAAATTAACTAAAGGTGTGAATTTGAAGTGCATTTTGGAAATTAATTAAGGCACACTGAATTAAGGCCCCTTTAATTCTGAATAATACTGACAACAAAAGGATTTAATATGGTTCAATTCACACACTTTAAAAATTAATTTGGATTCACCTTCCTGAGTGTCCCAATATAGACAAACTTGTGGGTACCTAATCACCATTTGTGTCTTTGAAATAGTTTCCCCAAAATGGACATTTTTAAATATAGGGCGTACAGAGTTTATTAAATGTGTTATTTGGCCATCCTATTAAGATGGGCCAAACTAAAAAAGAATATATATAGCATCAATTGTCATTACTTGCAGGGAGGTTGACAAAGGGTAAGTACCAATACAATTCAAAAGAGGAGAGAATAAAGTGAAACAAGCCTTGTAAACACAATTGAAAACAGCAGTGTAGCTTGCCAACAACTTGACAGGTTACACAGGTAAACACTTACAAGAGATCAACCTTTCTGTAATCAGCATAATTAGTGAACAATATAACAACATGCCCACAGTTCCAAAACAATAAATACATTTAATAATAAAGCTGCTAACTATCAAGAGCATTGCTCTTTCCTCAGCCAGAAGCTGCAGCATGGAGAAAATAATAAAACTGGGATATGATTTTTCAGAGGTGAACCAATAGTTCAAACGACAGAGTGGGTGATGTTACGTCTTGAGTTTCTGATGAATATGGGTTGTGTGGAGGGGAAGTGGTGTGTTGGGGTACCTGACCTAGAGGAGGATTTGGGGAAGATTTTGTCAGCTGTGGCATAGGAACTAGGAATGTGGGGGTTACTACAGCATCCCCCAGTTTTAGCTGGGTCTCTGCTACCAGCCTGATTTCTGACTGCTGGCCCCACACCTGGGGCCTGGCTTCCGTCCTTAAGACCAGGGCCCAGGCGATGTCAGCCACACCCGGGATTCCAGCTGCCAGCCTCACTCCTGGCCTTATGCCTGCCCACATCTGGGAGGGGGTGGATGGGGTAAGAGGGCTTGCTTTCAGCACCGTCACTATTAAAATAGTTCCCATTCTAGTGTGCGAGTGGGGCTTTGTGGCTCTTGTCACTGGAGGACACAATTGGTTAGGGCATATGTCTATGGGGAGTGCAAGGGAATTGCCCTGGAACAAGGGGGATTAGCTGCCCCAGTGTGGAGTGGCTAGGAATAATCTGAGGACAGGTATAACAGAGCGTGGATGAGAAGGATATGTTTTGCTAGAGGCATGACTCTAAAAATGATGGATGTCGCTTTGTATTGACTAATGAACACATCACCCAGAGTGAATTGTTTTGTGGATGCTACACTATTTGCAGCATTCACTGTAATTGCTGCTGACTCGGTCTAAACCATAAATCATATCTGAGACACTATGTCGGAATCATGACATCACGTGAAGGAACCACTTGTAAGGGTCAGCCATGCCCACTCAGTATGACTCTGTCTCCCACTGGTGGCACCTAGGTTTTGGCTAAGAGAAGTGAGTCTTTCAGCTCAGGTAACAGAGCAGTGATGGTCAACACGACTGGCCACACGAGTGGCCCTCCTTCATCTCGCAACACGACTGGCCACACAAGTGACCCTCCTTCATCTCAGTGAGCCACAAGGTTGTCGTAACCAAGACGATGTCCTGGAATGGGGTAGTTTTGCTCACTGTGTTTGCCTATCTAATATTTGTGGGATGTGCAGGTTGAACTGGAGCAGCACTTTGGATGCAGAGAGAGTGCAATGTTATGTGCAATCAGCACCTACCTCGCTTCACGTGCCTTGGCTTGTTGTGTGTGTGTGTCACTTTACTAGGTAGCAGAAAAAACCTATGCAGATGGAAACCAGTGGACTCTGGCAACCCCTGTGTGTGGGCATTGGTAAACGAAATGTCTAATGGGCCACACAAAACCCCGATGGGCCGCAGGTTGCTCACCACAGTAACAGAGGCTCATTTATGGCTATCCCATATTTAATCCCTGCTGTCAACAACCCACCCAGGGGCATCAGCATTACAAGTGGTGGCCTATACATCTGGGAAGTCTTTAAGACTTGAGAAGTCTGGTCGGGGGAGTTGTAAGCCACGGAATCAATCTGGGAAGTCTTTAAGACTTCAGAAGTCTGGTCGGGGGAGTTGTAAGCCATCCCCAGAGGGAGACAGAGCAACCCACAGAGTCAACATGCCTTATGTAAGTAACAGAGAGGGTATTTGTTTCCCTGTACTATGGATGGACTAAGTTTCTTATTATCACTATCACCCGGTAAGAGCTCAGATAATCGACACTGTCCACGCACATCATTGGAAATCTACCTCTCTTTCCAGTTGCAGGTGCTGGCACAGCCTGAAGCAGAGTTACTTCTTTCATAGGAACTGGGAGGCCGATTTCAATAGGTCCTTCTCTGAAGATCTGTTCCGTATCACGCAAACAGCGAGCCTGGGACACAAGCAAAAAAGAGTGAGGTTTTGGCTGCAAATGCCCACAAGCACCGGTGTCGCGTGACCCCTGCTTCGCCCACACAAGCAGGATTGTAGAAAGACAAGGAGGTGGCGACTGACTCAAGCCACTGAGTTAGTTGCGGGTCATGCTTTTGGAATCTTTGTTTCTTTAAAGCAATCCTTGGTGGAAGAGCTGGAATTGTTGTGTGGTTATATATATACTACAGTAATGGCTAGGAGCCCCAGACAAGCTCTGGGTCCCATTGTACTGGGTACAGTACCACACCCATGGTCAGAGACAGGCTTTGCCCAGGAGAGTGACAATCTAAGGGTGTGTCTAGACTACCTAGTTTTGTCGACAAAAGTGGACTTTTGTCGACAAAACTATACCAGCGTCTACACTACCCCCCCCCTCTGACAGAACTCAGCAGTTTTGTCGACGCTGGTATACCTCATTTTCCGAGGCATAATACCTTCTGTCGACAGAACTCTGTCGACAGAAGGTGTTATTGCCTGTAACATTGCGTCCAGATTACGGAGTTCTGTCGACAAAGCAGCTTGCTTTGTCGACAGAACTCAATGTGTCTGTGCTCTTTGTCGACGGAAGTTTTGTCGACAGTATCTGTCGACAAAACTTCCGTCGACAAAACGCGGTAGTCTAGACGTACCCTAATAGACAAGACAGAGTGGAAGGGGAATAGAGGGTGAAATGTGTCCTAGCTCACACAGTGGGTGAATAGACTACCACCCAGGCAGGCCTGCCAATGAGGGGGGGCAAAGAGGACAATTACCCAGGCACTTTAGAAGGATCTGCCCCCCTTTCAATGGCAGGAGTGGCTGGGAGTTCTGGGTCCTTTTGTATTGCCTGGGTAGGGCACAGAACTCCTAGACCAATGTGGATTGCTAGTGGCAAAGGCAGCTGGGTGGGCATGTGGAAGCACTGTCTGTGTTGGAAGAGCATGCCCAGCAGTGCAGCTGGCTCCTCGCTGGACACCGTGCAGGCTCAGCCCCGCCCAGATGTCAGGCGGACTGGTTCCACGCAGGAATGACGTGTGTGTGTGTGTGTGTGAAGGCACTGTCTGTGTTGGAAGAGCATGCCCAGCAGTGCAGCTGGCTCCTCGCTGGACACCGTGCAGGCTCAGCCCCGCCCAGATGTCAGGCGGACTGGTTCCACGCAGGAATGACGTGTGTGTGTGTGTGTGTGAAGGCCTGTTGGCTGTTCTCTCCTGGGGCCCAGAACGGCCGTTGGCAGGTCTCTTAAATGTCCCTCTAGAGCCCCCTGTTCGCTAACCCACACTGTTCCAGCCCACCCACCGTCCTACCTGCTGGGTGCTCTCTATCAATGCCAGCGCTTCGGCCATGAGTTTCTGGTTCACTCCACAAAGGTTGGCCACTTTCGTCTGGCACTTATGATGGACGTTCATGCCACATGCTGAAAGGAAAGAGGTGATCAGAGCACGGAGAGGTTTGCATGATCAACAGTCTTTGGTTTACTGGAGGCAGAGCACTTCTATTGGCCCAAGCCAGTGGCTGAGGGTGAAATCCACCTCTGTGCTGCCCTACGTAGCTCAAGACCTAGGTAACCAACCCAACTGGTGTCATAGTCCTCAGGAGAGCAACCCTGGTGAACATACCATGCATCTACACTTGTAGAGCACAACAAGAACCCATGGACTGCGGACTCACCGTCACACTTTAACCCTTGCCTCGCCAGGCCCCAAAGAAGCGTGCCACAGTGCTCGCAGAACGTCGGGCTCTTGTAGTTGTAAACCTTAAACCGGTGAGGCATGTCTATCTTAAACCTCTCCTTGTGGAACTGCAGGAAGAAAAGACATCAGTGAGAATATCACCCACTCCATAGAGGTGCTGAATTAAAAATATTATTGATCAGGGGTATTATACTGCTGCCCATCACTGTGGTCTTTGAGAGTCTTAGTTATCAGGGTTTTTACCATGAATGGGGGGAAAAAATCCTTAGGAATAAGCAATATATCATACATAGAAAATAGGGTGGGAAACAAGTGACAGGACTTTTGTTATTGGGTTTGAACAAAAAAAGGAAATTGTCTATAGATTTTCAAAGCCAGCTAGGGAGTTTGGCCATATAACTCCCATCTTTGCCAACAAGAACTGTGTGACGAAACCCACTAGTTAGTTCTGAGAGTAACAGCCAAAAGTGTTTGAAGGGTGTAAATACTATAGAGGGATCAGAATTGATTAGGGAAATGCCATGTGATTCAGGAAATACCAAAATGTTCAGAAAAGGGTAACAAAAATAATTAGGTTCAGGAAATACCAAAATGTTCAAAAAATGTTCAAAAATAATTAGGGGCTTGGAAGGGGTCCCATATAAAGAGAGATTAAAATGACTTGGACTTTTCATCTTAGAAAAGAGGAGACTAAGGGGGGATATGATAGAAGTCTATAAAATCATGACTGGTATAGAAAAAGAGAATAAGGAAAAGTTATTTATTTGTTCCGATAACATAAGAACTAGGGGTCGCCAGATGAAATTAATAGGTAGCAGGTCTAAAACTAACAAAAGAAAGTTTGTCTTCACACAGCGCACAGTCAACCTGTGGAACTCCTTGCCAGAGGATGTTGTGAAGACCAGGACTTTAACAGGGTTCAAAAAAGAGCTAGATACATTCATGGAGGTTAGGTCCATCAGTAGCTATTAGCTGGGTTAGATAGGAATGGTGTCCCTAGCCTCTGTTTGTCTGGAAATGGATGATAGGAGAGGGATCATGTGAGGATTACCTGTTGTGTTCACTCTCTCTAGGGCATCTGGCATTGGCCACTGTCAGCAGATGAGACACTGGGCTAGATGGATCTATGGTCTTACCCAGTATGGCTGTTCTTATGTAGGTATAAATAGGAGATGTGGAATTAAATTAACTAAGAAAAATGTAGTCTTAATATCAAGGGGGAATGGCAGCTTACTCTCATTTCTGCACAGGAGAGAGGAATGCTTCCTGGAGCAGTAATATGAAAAAGCAAGATAAAAGCATAATAAAGGGGAACTTGTCAAAATGCAGATCTCCCATTAACAGCTGGCTAAGTTTGGATAAAATATACACACTGAAAATGGTAAAACTTCACCCAATAATATCTTTCTCCCTAGTGCCCATAACTTCTATTTCAGATACAGTAGCTCTTTTAGGAGCACATCCAGTCTTGACTTAAATATTGCAAATTCAGTTGTTAAATTGGAGTGCATCCCAAATAAAGGATTGTGTGACTGACTAGGGAGGTGCAAGCAGATACAAATATGATCTGTTCTACCCATTCCACACCAGTAACTTTAGTGACTTCACTCCTGTTACTCCGGATTGACCCCAGGATGAAAGAGAACAGAATGAAAGCCCATGCTGAAATGTGACACATACCATAGTTTCTCTGCTATTGATTGCTGACCCTGTGCACTTAGCTATTACTTTATCAATACACTTCTTATGAATGGCCGCATTGCACTCTGAAAAAACAGAGAAGTCACAACATTAGGAACAAATGCTATTTAAAAATGACTGAATAAACAATTATAGTAATATAATAAAGCTTCTTACGTCTGCACTGGTAGCCTTGTTTGTTAAGACCCCTAGAATAAACACAAAACTGGTTAACTGAATTTTCAGAGTTAATGTCAGCAATATGAATTTTTCATAAAACAACATTGATTTTTATTAGCTCCTGCTAGGCTTTTTTAGCATAAGTATCTTTATTCAATTCAGCTAGTAGTTTGAAAGACTGCAGGTGGCCCACACAGCCTTTTTTTTGTGCACTTCGTAACTTTTCATTTTGCATCAATTAATGGCAAACCGTTTGTTAGAAATTTACGTGTGTTTTAGTCACTGAGCGAATTTTCATCCTACAGCAAATGCAATTAGAATCATGACAATTGTGTCATATCCTTGAAATGAAACAGTAACCCCTATATGTAATATTGGTGAAGGGCCTGACATCTGGATGCTTAGGGTGTGTCTACATTGCACCGTTATTCCGGAATATTGGCCGTTATTCTGGAAAAACAATACTAGCATCCACACAGCAATTGAATTATTTCAAAAGAAAATCGAAATAATGGAGGGCTTTTTCTAATATTTGTAAACCTCATTCCATGAGGAATAACGCCTCTTCCAAAAAAGCTCTTTCGGAAGGGGGCGTGTGTGGACGCCCCACTCCTGCTACGTCTAAATAGTGCCTTACCAGGGCCATTCTAAGTTATTCCTCCCCAGTGACTCCAGGGTTCTAAACCAAGATAGCACATCCACATTAGGGGAGCCTGCCTCGGACTAATTTTGAGGCTGCCCTGTAGTGTGGACGCTCTATTTCAAAATAAGTTATATCTTCCGGAATAGCTTTTTCCAAAATAAGCTTGCAGTATAGATGTACCGTAGCTCACACAAGTAGTCCTTACTCCTTCAAACTGTTCCACTGGCCCAAATTCTGCCGCCTTTTCTCAGTTCCTAGTCCCAAGGACCTGATCACACTCCCATTAAAGTCAATGGACAGATTCCCAGGCCCAAAACTTGAAAGGTATTTTTGGCAGGTGACTCCCACTGATTTCAAAGGAAGTTTAGTGGCTAAATACCTTGGAGGATTTGTGCTTGACCGATTTAACTAGGAGCTGGACTGAGGCCCTGCTCAGGCAAACCCACTCTGAAAAGGCTCATTGGAGTCAAGTATACAAGGGAGAGTTGTAGGGTCAGGTCACTTAGTGGTAAGCAATAATAACATTTCTTTACTGATGTCTGGAGGATGTCCTGCAATGATGCTCAATGACTAAGATATGTGACTCTGGATCCTACAGTGTGTACCAGGAGATCCTAGGGCTATCTGCATACACACGTACATACTGAAATGCACCGTGCTAGGATCCAGGGAATACCTGAAAGCACTTGCCCCGATTCTCATTCATTAGTAACTACAGCGTGCTCACAGAAGGGCAGCTGGAGAGCACGAGGTACAATGGGCTTCGGAATGAGTAGGGGAGCAGGCACCGAATTGTTGCACCTACCAGACAAACTCATGGCAGACGGAGCAGAACGTGGGCTGCGGGAAAAAGGTGGCGGTGAACTCGTGACATTTGACGTTGTGAATTTTGGCTTGCTTGATAGCTCCTCGGCGCTGGTGCAGGGAGAAAAACCCCTCTGTCTCGCAATCAATCAGCTCTTTAGCATCTGCGGAGAAAGGAGACACAAGAGTTCACAATGAAATACAGTTATGTCTATGTGTGGGGATAGATACAGTGTTAAGTGTATACAGTGTAAGCACAGTGTGTGCATTCTCTCACCACCCTTATACTGTATTTCTACTCTGTGTTCTGCCCTGTCTTTTAGGGGAGACTCTCAGAATGCGTTACAAGCATTAATAAACGAAGCCACATGGCACCCTTGCGAGGCAGGTGGTATACTCATTTGACAGATGGGGAAGGTAGCGAGGTTAAATGACTTGTATAAGGACGGAAGCTGGATAGTTGAGAATAGACTCCAGGAGTTCTAAGTCCCAGCCCTATGCTCCAGCCTCCTTTCTGTAATTACGCTGATGGAAGCAATGTATGTGAGACCAAACTAACCCAACATATAGACTTAGTATCAAATTTAAAAAAGAGAATCCACTGGTTAGAAATGAGCAGGCAGATGTTTCCACACCTGTTCTTTCATTCCCTAATGGTTAGCCACTATGGCTACGTCTACGCTTCGGGTGTTTTGCGGAAGAGGAAATGCAAATAGAGTGCTCATTTGCATATCTTGTGCTCTCATTTGCATATCGTCTTCCAATCCTTTTTACGGAAGAGTTTTTTGTGATAAAATGCCCTGTGTAGATGGGGCCATTGGTTGGGAAAAAACCCTTTTGCACAAGAGCCCCTATTCCTCAAAAAATGAGGTTTACATGCTCTTGCACAAAAGGGTTTTTTTTCCAACAAATTGCCCCATCTACACAGGGCATTTTATCACAAAAAACTCTTCCGTAAAAAGGATTGGAAGAAGATATGCAAATGAGAGCACAAGATATGCAAATGAGCACTCTATTTGCATTTCCTCTTCCTCAAAACACCCGCTGTATAGACATAGTTTATGATGTGTTAAGATTCCTCTTTCAATGCTGAGCCAGTGTGATGGGAGGAGTTGACAAGGAATAGCACCAGTGTGAATGATTTTCTTTGTCATAGTGGAAGATCTTTCTAATTTCAGGTGGTTACTTCCCCATGTAGTCCTCCATCGTGCACCCATCAAAGTCAATGGGAGTTTTGTTATCAAGGCGAAAATGGGTTTAACACAGCCATTTGCGTATCTTGCCATCCCTCTATGTTGAGATTGTTCCAGACCAATATATTCTTAACCTATACATTTTTCAGCTAGCAGCTCTCCATGGAGCTAGTCTAGTCCTTTGGAAATCAACGGGAGTCTCTCCACTCTCCTGGATGGGGGCTGGTTCTAGGAGTAAATCATTTTTTTCCCCCTCATTGGGAAGGCATATATAGGGCTGGCTGTTTAAGAATCCACTTCATACTGGCAAAGCTAGCAAATTTGAAGGCAAATAACGGGGAGACAGCAAATGTGGAACCTCGCCATGCCATCGGAATTGCTTGTCATTGTGGAACTGCATTCAACCCATTGCAATGCTCTCATGTTTACAGATGAATCATCAATATTGACGTGAGCATTATTTTAAATGCTAGGCGATTATATGGAGATGATTTGCCCGTCCCACATAACCAGAACTAAAATCTGTTAATCAATAAATAGTGTAACTTGCCACTCATTTCCAGGAAGTATCTTGCACTCATTAGCATTCTCCCTTGAGGTTTCAAGTCTAGCTGGTTGACACAAGGAGAAAGGAAAAAAAATGTAGATGTTAGACAGCAGTACTACTTCCTAACAGTCACTTGTGCAAACTCAAAGCTAAAATCTAGTGACAATCTCAGCTGGCAAGAATAAAGTTAATTTCCAGATGGAGAGCAGTAAATGACAATAAGAGTGTGGGCTTGGTTGGTTCATTTTCAGGCATGGTAACCACTGGAGAACAAAGTAGACAGAAGGGTTGTGGGAGGAACAACTAACAATACGGGGATAAGATTATGTGGATTCACAACAGAGGCTTGTGAACAACATGCTAGAACATAGACAAAAATGGATCAGATAATGAAATAAGGCTCAGATTTTCCAGCAGAGTTCAGTATTCAGCAGCTTCCATCAAGAGAACATATCATTCCCAGAGACCACTACTGCATGCTAAGGACTTTTGTAAATTTGGCCACAGGCACCTAACTCCCGTTAATGGGAATCGGGTGCTTATTGCTTATCAGTGTTTTTCATTTGCTGGCTGGACCAAAATGTTTTTCTTTAATTAAAAAAAAAAAAAGTTTCAGGTTGACCCAAATGAACACTTCTGGCACTTAGAAAAGGGTAGAAAATATTCAATAAAAGTTTGATTTGACCCAACACACATTTCCTATTGTGTTTGAAGGCTTTTTACGTCAAAAAAATTTGTCTTGAGACAGCATTCAAAACGAAAAGTCAGGTTGAATAAAAACATTGAAATATTTCATCTGGAAAATGGGAAAACAAAGCGTTTAGATGGTTTTGGATTTTGTTAGGTTTTATTTTTCAACCAACACAATTTGGTGAACTCAACACAAAGTCACAAAATGTTTTGGTTGACCCAAACCTGTACTTTTCAGCCAAAAAGAGTTTTGGATGAATAATTTTGCTCTTTAGGCTCTTCTGCAAATCTCACTGGATCCTTAGGTCCCTAAACACCTTTGTAAATCCGTCCCTGTGAAGCAAAATGCAACTTTGGCTATATCTACATAGCCAGGATTCCAGAGGTTGTGCGTCCTCCTGAGCTGGAAGTCTACATAGAAATAAAAGAGCCCTAACTGAGTCTCATGAGCACAAAGGAGCTGGCACAGACCAGTTGCAACTTTTTTTTTTTTTGCTGTGTAGACATACTTGTAGACTCTGTAAACCCATAGACTTTTAAGTACCCAAACTGCTTTTTAAAATAGGAGTTAGGTGCTTGTGAAAATTTCACCCAATGACTAAATCATAAAATTTAGCCTGAAAACGGAGAGGAAAAATATCCTGCAATTCAAGTAACGTAACGTCTCCAAATGTCATGTCACTATTAAGATAATTCACCTGTAGTCACTCACAATACTGTGGGTCCCCAAAGGACTTTCTAAGCAAAGTTATGATGTCTACATGACTCATAGGAACCAGAATGCTTGCTAATATAAAGCATGTGTTGCTCTTTTTGATGTTCATGGACGGCTTTCCGTAAAGCAATACCCAAAATGACTCAGCGTGCGTTCCTTGTTGGCAGACAATTTTTCTTGGCATATCATTTAGGTTTGTAATCCGGTATGCATACAGTGCTTCCCCTCATTCTATAATAGTTACCTCTCATGAGATATCTGGGCGTTCAGACCCCAAAGCACTTACCCATATTTCCGTCTTCCCATTACTCTTCTTGCACTTGTCTGCCAGTACATTGAGTTCGACAGTGGTTTCTGAAACCATTTCTGCACTTTTGTCCTTCACAACAATGTGCATGAGCCTGCCCTTGTTGATATGGGCATCGAAGGTGCTGTTCCAAGGTGGGTACATGGTGGGCTTCTTTTGGACGTACACTTGTCCATTCTCTGTTAATAGAAAGGGATTTAGAGTTATTGGGATGTCCACCTGAGAGAACGTGACCCAATGTGGATGATTCTCAGTTAGGTCAAAGCCACTCTGATAGTGAGAAGGGACCTTGGACTAGATTTAATGTAATTTGTGCCCACTTTAGGCCTCTTTATTCTGTCACAGATGTGGTATAAAATGACAGTGTAAATAAGAACCAAGTCCATGAAAAATCAACGGAGCTACACTGGTGTTAATCTGAAGTCATGCAGTTATGAATCAGGACAAAATTTTGCCTCGGTCAAAATTATTTTTCCAGCATTCCCACCTCTCAAATTGTTTGACTTCCACGAGGAAATCAAAACAAAAACACAATTCAACAGTTAGACAGTCTGAACCCACACAAGCAAGCAGGCAGCGAGATCATTTCTGTGAAGGAAATGGGACTGGAGTCAGAGAACCTAGACTTCCGTGAGAGGATAATCAGTCGTTTCCCTCACAATTTCTCCATTAAGGACAGAACCACTGAAGAAAAGAAGCATAATCTGACATAGGAGACACAGCTTAGTTAGGGTTGCCGGATGGTTGAAACAAAAATACCGAACACCCCCCCAAAAAATACCTACCCCCCCAAAAAAAACACCGGGAAAAATTCTGTTGAAGGTAAAAAAAAAAAGAAGCATTAAAAAAGCATGTCCCCTTTAAGAGTGAGTGCAGGGATAGGAACAGAGGAGTGGTTGAGCACTAACACCCAGGGGAAGTATTGCTTCCCCTTGGTCAGCAGCCATTTTGTGCCAGCAGCCTTGCAGAAGCAGGTAAGCATGGGGGCTGGGGTCATGGGGCTGGGAGTTTTGGGGGCCAGAAGGGAGCTCGGGAGGGAGAAGGGGGAGAGGCCAGGCTCTGAATGTTTGTAGGGTTGCCAGGTGCCTGGCAGTTTCGCCTCCTGGCTGGGGAAAAATCAGAAAATACTGGATATCTCAAGTGTCCAGTATTCTTTGAATTTTTTACCAGCCAGAAGGCAAAAATACTGGACTGTCCGGGTGAATACCGGACACCTGGCAACCCTAAGCTTAATAGGATGTGGTATATCTTTGAGGCCTACCATAAAACTGCCTCGCCTGTCCCAGTTATACTTCCCTCCACTTGTAAGTCAGAGTGTCACCAGACTCTTTGTCCCAATCTGCTCATTTCCTTCGGTCTGGCTTTTGCCCTCTCCACATTTGAATCGGACATTTTCCTCCTGAGTGCTGCCTGGATGCCAGCAGAATAACTAAGAACACAGGAGAAAGGCTTTCTGTCTTCAGTTCTGGTGCCCAAATCCACAGACTCAGAGCTGCTGGGAGAAGCCATCATGGGGAAAGAAGGACTTTTTTTATCCCTGTTGTGACCATACAAATGAAAAGAACCGTATCCATCTTTCTCAGTATTATACTGTCAGTTTATCATTGAATCATAGAACACTAGAACTGGAAGAGACCTCGAGAGATCATCAAGTCCAGTCCCTTACCCTCATGGCAGGACCAAGCATGGTCTATAATAGATCATCATATCATTATATATATCAAGGGCTTGGACTCTTTACTCAGGGTGAGTTCTGTTTAATAATAACTACCCAGAACTCTTCATTTTATAACATGTTAATTGATTGGAATATGAAAATTAAAATATAAAGCATGTTTAAGTGCATTGAGGGATAATAATATCGCTCTTCTGCGGTTAGCCAATGTCAGGACCCTTCAGGCTCCAGGTTGGTTTCCTGTGGAAGCAAAAATCAACGATGCAAAGGCAGAGGATGTGTCCATACTGTAGCTGGATTATTTACACTATATACACAAATCCATGAACGGATCTGGTCACGAATGGCATGCAGAAAAAGCAACCCTTTCTGAACTCTCCATCCAAAAACCAATACTGGGTTCCCAGGAAGTCACTCTGCACCAAGAATTGATTGGAGTTAGAGAAATAAAGAGAGGGAAGTATTTCCCTTGCTGTCTGCAACAGCCTCCCTTAAAAGAAGCTATGTAAATGACCTAACAATAATACCGCATGTCTTCTGACTGTGCACTGCTTGCATTCTATGTGTAATGGTGCTGTCTGGTGGCTTTCGTCATAGCAACAATAATACTTTACATACAGCAGTAATATTTCCATAGCCGCTTACTTCTGATGATCTACAAAAACTTCACAAATATTGATAAAAATACTTTCAGGACTCCTTTTTACATCCTGCAGAAGCAATAGAAACTTCAGCACTAGACTGGGATTTAGGAGATCTGGGTTCTGTTCCTGAGTTAGCCTCTAGCCTTCCAGGTGATCTTAGATAAGTCACGTCCATGCTCTATGCCTCAGTTTTCCCATCTGTGAAATGGGGATAATGATACTGACCTCCATTGTAAAGTGTTTGAGATTTACTGAAGAAAACTGTTATGTAAGAGCTCGGTATAATTAATTAGTATTATTATAATCACCATTATCTTTCTCCATCTTTATTTCACCTTCAAATATTTAGGTGCATACAACCAATTGGAAGCAGTTTAACTAAAGGTGGTTTTATGGTGACATTTGTCTGAGTTTCATTTTAGGCACTCTTATTTTGGCATACCAGGTGTTCATTCTGACTTCTCTTAATCCAATTTAAAAAAATGGATTAAGTGAACCACCTTAAACCTAAATTAAGTGCATCTTCATGCAGATTTACACTATTTTAACCAAATCAGTTTGCAAACTGATTTAAGGTAAACCACTGCAAGTTCTGATTTCAGACCAGTTCTTGAAGGAGCTGGATTTTAAGGGAGCCCATGCTTCCAGATGAAAGAAATCCCCCTTTCCTGTCTTTTCTTTAAGGGTTCAGAGTGGGTAGAGCCAAAGAAAAGAGACAGAGACCTATTGTTGATTGGGGTTTTTTGGAGGAGAATCAGCTATGAGCCACCTGCTGCGGCTAAGAGGAAGGAGTAAGAACCAGTGTACGGGAAGATTTCGTTAAATCCAGTAATGTGCCTGAACCACTATTGCTTACTATTTGAACTTTAGCAACCAAGCTAACAGGCCCAAAATAGGCCTAGACAGCATGACCAAGTCAGGGAGGGGGAAGAAGGGAGAGTTTGGGTGCCACAGAGAGGGCAGGTTGGCTCCGCATCCTTCCTGAGGCCCAAATCTCTAGTGAAATCGCTGAGCTATACATTAAGAAAAACAGGAAGTCTGTCTAAATGCCCTAAGACATATATCTGTCAGGGCCCCCGAGCATAGAGTCTTTGAAAAAGAAAAAATACTAATGGATAAATAGGGAAGGGAAGTTTGAGTTAGGGGGGACAATTTTGGGAACACTTGAAGGGACGCCTCAGGGATTCCTTGAGCACTCTTCTCATCTGGACACATCTTCGTCCCCATTGGCAGACGGAAGACTGGCCATCAGAAGCCTGCTCGGTGTCACTCAAGAGCCACCCTCAACTTCAGTAATTATCGAGGGTGGGGTGTTTTACTAACCTGTTGCAGACGTGTGTAAGTGCTTGAGACTAAGTAAAGTTTAGCTCTAAGTGAAATCACTCTTGTGTTGTCCTGTTTGTACCATCCATCTATCAGTCGGACAACCATGTCTTCCTGAATTATTTCCTGACACCACCTCGCAGAGAGTAAAAGTTACTGAGAGGTTTGGGTTGAAAGAACCCCGGGTTACACCAGAAGGGAGGAAATAGAGAAAGGGGAGCAGATGGGCAGCTTTTAATCTCCATTCCCTGTCTGGCTTACTCAGTGACACCAGAAAGTTTCCTTCACTGCTCCTTTTGATCTCCCCCACTCCCACCCTTAAAAATCCACACCCTCCCACCACCCCGTCTAGCACCTGCACCATTGGAGGAAAAAGCATAGAAGAGATGTTACTTACTGCACCTGGTCTGCGTTCCAGTGTGACTTCTGCTAGGATGCTACCTCTCAGCTCCCTGGGTCTATTCTGTTTGCATATCACGACAGCAATGTCCCCCCCTCCGCATCCCTGCCTTCACTAAAGAAGTAGAGACAAGGACTGAGAAAAGAAATAGACTGTCTTGAAGGAAGTATCAAGGATCCAGTTCCAGATCCCTGTGTGTGTTGTGGTTTTATATGGTAATGACCAGATCGTGAACTCTTTACTCTCACTGGTTTATTTACCCTATATATACCAGTCCTTGAACAGAGGTGGTCACAAATGGCAAGAGGCCAAACCCTGCTTTCTAAAATCTCAGCCCAAACTCTGGTATTTTCTTCCCCGGAGCAATTTTGCACTAAGACATTAGAGAAATGAAGTCAGAGAAGAAACTTCTTACTACTTGCCACAGTTTCTGGAAAAAGTATCTGCATTCCAAAACTAATAACACAGCATTTCCTCAGATGAACTGGGACTTCTTGTATCAGTGTCTCCCAATAAGAGTAGAGGCTGCACCACTCAGCCCAAAGTTAATCTGTATTTGGACTTCTCCAGCACAAGAAATTTGGATCTGTGGTTGGGCACCTTTTACTCACGCTTGAACACTGTGGCTATGTCTAGACTGGCAAGTTTTTTCACAAAATCATCTGATTTTGAGGAAAAACTTGCCAGCTGTCTACACTGGCTGTTTGAATTTCCGCGAGAAAACTGACGATCTCATGTAAGATCATCAGTGTTCTTGCGGAAATACTGTGCTGCTCCCGTTCGGGCAAAAGCCCTCTTGCGCAAATCATTTGAGCAAGAGGGCCAGTGTAAACAGCACAGTACTGTTTTGCGGAAAAAAGCTCTCATGGCTAAAATAGCGATCGGGGCTTTTTTGCGCAAAACCATGTCTAGATTGGCCACGGACGCTTTTCTGCAAAAAGTGCTTTTGCGGAAAAGCGTCCTGCCAATCTAGATGCGATTTTCCGAAAATGCTTTTAACGGAAAACTTTTCCATTAAAAGCATTTCCGGAAAATCATGCCAGTGTAGACGTAGCCACATGTATGTATACAGATTGTTACAATTAATATACATACAATAATTGTTGGCTTAATTCGTCAACTGTCTTTGACGGGGTT